TTCGTTCTGGCTGGTAATCTTTGCGTTTCCGCTCTGGGCTTTTTGCAAGCTCCTACGTACGCGTAGCCGCGACAATCGCATTCACATTTACCACGCATATATGCGCGCGCGCGCACTTTACATTTTTGGTAACGCGCTCGCGAGCTTCCGAGAGCCAAGGGGAAGCCGCATCGCTGATAGAATAAAAAGCTTATTTGGAATTGGTTGACGAGCCATTATTTCCACCCTCCTGCCCCTCAACACCCTACTATCCATCCCCCCTCCCTCCCCCCTCCTCCCTCCCACGCCCCCGCCGTCACCCTTGCCACGTTGGAAGATTGAGTCTTTAATCGAACGGTCTCTTTCTTCGCGCATCGCCTTTCTCCGATGATTGAAACGCTAGCGAATATTTGCTCTCTTTCGCGTGTCGGACTCGCTCGTGTTTGCATTTGTGCCGTGCACGTATGTCCTCTCGGATTTCCACCTCCCAGTTCGCCTCCCATTTCATCCCTCCCGCCGTCCCTCTCGCCTCGTTTTAAATTCAATGAAGAATCGAGAGATAAGGGGATTGCGGGGAAAATTAATTAATTTCGTTCCTGATTATTTGCCGTGTAACTTTTAGATTACTCGCGAGTATGATGTGGAGCGGATATTGATTTAGTCGGATCAACCAAGATATCGAGGATCTCTTTTATCATACGAGAGTATTTGAAACGCGTCTTGGGAATTATCATAGGAGAGGGGACAATAAAGCTGCCAGTAGTAATGTATGCATTATATCAGGTTAGGTCAAACTTGATTACTCGTAAATAATGGGCGTGCGTGACGATTGCGTGTCCATGGATCATCGAGTGATACATCGACGCTGCGTCGAATGGTGGCTTATCACTCGATTATCTAAAAAAAAAAAAGAAAAGAAAAAGAAAAAAAGCTTCCGTCGATCGACTCGAGCCGGATCTGCAGGTTTGCCAGTAAATCCGAGGTGCGCACGCAAGTGCGCTGAAAATGTCATCGTCGATCAGAGTTGGATCTGATACGATTGACGAGACTATTGAAATTGTTTAAGCGCTTATCGAATGGCCCTTGCACTTTCTCGCCGGCCTGCCTCTTTCACCAATTTATCGCAATCAGGCTCTTTTGCGTGGGAATAAAATGGGAGTGCGGTGGGCATTAATTTAACGTGATGTAAGGTCCCATTGTAGATCGGGATCTCGATTTTATAAGGGCACGATTTCTTTACACGTGTCTTATGAATCTAAAAGGTGCCAATGATTTATGCATTTCTTATAAATACTGTAAATAGTAGGTAAGGCGATAATGGCGATAAGGTAATGTAGGGGGATTGAATTCAAGTTGAATCTCATTGATAATCTCGTTCATTATGTTAATTTAAATTGTCCCTAATAGTGGCCTAAATTTATATTCCTAGAAGGCTGAATGAAAAGTATGTTATTTTGTACATTTTTTTTTTTTTTTTTTTTTTTTTTTTTTTAACAACTTTTACAATTAATTGTCGATATTACCATATTAATAGTCAAAGATTGTAAATACCACGTTTGTCAACTATGCCATTTAATTTTCATACTTCAAGCGGCAATTAAAATTAAGATCTACTAATTTACGTTGCAATTGAAAATAAAATAAAATAGTATAAAGATAACATATCCTACCAGGACTTTGTTTGTCAGGCGCATTGCCATTTTGAATTATTCTCGCCAGGCCGAAATCCGCTACGACAACGGTCTTATCCTCGCGCACTAAACAATTGTGCGAATTCAAATCACGATGAATGATATTCATGGAGTGAAGGTAGGCCATTCCTGCGGCAATGTCCTTTGCAAAGGAAGTGCGTTGCTCCCAGAACAGAGGCTCGGTCGTGTCGTGGAGCAAGGCTCGAAGCGTGCCACCCGATATAAACTCAGTGACGAGATGAAGTTTTTTATCTTTATAAAGAACGCCGATAAAGCGAAGTACGTTGTTGTGATGAAGTGAGCGCAATACGGCGACCTATATTGTATTAATAATAATAGTAAAGTATTAATTAATAATGGCATTCATAGAGTACAGATATTTTGTGAATAGAGTGTCGTAATTAATTGAGTATTGAGCAAAATGCAAAACTTAAACGAGACTTAAATTTGAAGGATATCGTGAAAAAATTATCAATTTATTGTTATAAGTCTCTTTCTCTCTCTCTCTCTCTCTCTCTCTCTCTCTAATACTCAAACACCTCAAATGTAATGACGAAATTAATAATTTATCTTTCAAACGCAACTCACAATATATTATAATTACGATATACTCTTTTAACAAGATATATTTGTATAATATCTGCTCCAAGTAATAAGTCAATAATTAATGAATTTACTTCATTTTTCATGCGAATAATAAAGTTTTCTATAACAATTAATAAACAAACTTTTCCTAACTAATATCGAATCATTTAAACCCTGTACTCTTTATTTAAAATTTCATTCGTAAAAGATATGATAATGTTGAAAATGTAATAATCTGTTCACAAACCTCTTTTAAAAAGTTTTTTTGTGCCTCTTCATCAACTCGGTATAATTCTTTAAGCACCATAACTTCATTGGTATCTCGATGAGTTACTTTATAAACTTGTCCGAAGAATCCTTTACCGAGTAGTTCTCCTTTGACAAGATCGCTAGCTCTGAATATCCTTTGATTCTTTGGTTCGACGCGAAATGATCGGGTTCGACTTAAGTCACAAGTTGGATTGGTCGGTGACGTTCTGTTTTTGAATAATCAATATTTCATACATTAAATATTCGCTCAAAAAGTAACGAATCTATTATTTTGCAACATTAGGATTGTGAATTATATATTTCAATCATTTATGCACATAACTATTAAATGAAAAATTCTTTGGAATACGTTTTTGTAATTGAACAAGTTAGTTAATACTTTACGTTTTTTTAATCCCATCATTATAACAGATTTTTCTCATGATAAATTATCAATGAATTATTCTTTTTATACAATAATTTAGTGATTTTTATTTCTGTCGTGATGGAAAAATGACCCGATTATTATCTAATGCTTATAGAATTATTCTAGATACATTCAAATTAGTAGTGACACAATTACTTTTCATTTCAAGAATTAAATGTTTTTCAAAGTTGAATTAATTTCGATAAATGAAATTTTGTTGCTATTGTATTTACAACTATTTTTATTGATTTAAAAAAAAAAAAAAAAAAAAAAAAAAAAAAAAAAAAAAAAAAAAAAAAAAAGTCATACTAATGACAGTAATAATCACCCTTAACTTTCTTTACAAATTACCTACAGTCGGTATATATTCATTTTTAAAAAGAAATTCCTCTCGCCTATAAAAAAAAAAGTATGGTAAGTGGATTTCATCGATAGTATCCAAAAGTTACGCTTACAAGATATTATACCACATGAAAATTGTACGATAAAAATTTCTTTCTAAAAATGCAAATACATCGACTTATAAATTTGACAAATGACAGCTGTTTTTAAAGATTATTTGTAAAAAGTTTGTTAATTTTTTAGTTATGTGTATGAAAGTCATGATGAAATTACCCAAACTTTACAATCAATAATTTAAAGATCGAATTAAATTTTGTTTATGAAATTATATAGAATTATAAAGAGATTCTCTAAAGCGATTGATAAATTTCAATTACATACAATAATCCTTGCAAAGATAGATTCAATGGTTAACAATTGTTTTACTTTAATGTTTAAATTTACTTAAAAAAAATATGTTTTTATTGTATAACTAACAGTGGCATATGGCAAAGTAAATACAATCAAAATCATCGAGTAAGCAATTGATTTACCTGCATTAATAAAAGATAATAATTTAATTTTAAACATTGTTCGGTAACTGGGAAATAAATATTTGCTTTATTTTATAATTTTTAATATTAATATCATTTGTGCATTCTTCAATTGAGCTAACATGCTCGGTACAATTTTTACCGCTGCCTTTCCCAATAATCAATAATCATTCTAATAATAAATATTTTAAAAATGTACAAAGAGTGACACACGGTCGTATTAATAAATTATTTAAAAATAAAAAGTATCTATTTCAATTCTTAAATCGATAATAATATTTACATTTAACTATTTTACATGCATAAAATTGTACTTGAAACTTTTATATTTAAAGCCTGTCGATAGCCATTGAGCGTTTAAAGTTATAAAAGCTTATCGTCTATTACACATTATATATGCTATTATATGATTAAATTATCTATTACAAGCTAAACAATACTGCTCACAGTATATTTATATTAATTTGAACATTAATATAATATTCGTGACACGATTAGCTGATCGCGGAACAACATAGTTTATTGAATAATATAAGTTTTAACCATCGAACGGATGCTTTTAATATCTTTGATTCGATGAAGCACATTGGTCTACCAATTAAGTTTTCCTTTGACAATAAAACTTACCCATCGAGTAATCGGGACATTGAACTACTCCGTTCCTTTTGCTTCGGGTCCTTTGTCCTCCGCAATTGTCTGCTTCTCGTACCGCTTATATAACCTTCATCGCGCCTCTTAAATAATCTGTCTTTACTCTCAGGACTCGTCTTCGGACTTGATGTCCGCGATATTATGGATGAGTGAGCCGTGGAAAATGCTGGTCGGCGCGACACCGTGTCTGGATCATGTTCTATCGTGAGCTGAAGTAAAAAATTATTTATTACATAGCGTGCAACGATGTACTCTGATAAGAAAATTAACGGACTACTTTGCGATTACTATATATATATATTTATTTGTTAAATCAATCGTTTTTGCCAAATAAATTTCATAAAATCTATCAAGTATAATAATATTGATAGCTAACCAGTCGTATTAGTCCACAAATGTAAAAATGTAAATTACAATCGTTTTTACAAATGTTTCTCATGATAATTCCATGCCATTACAATAATTTACATAATTATTAATAGACGTGAAAAATCGATAGCAGTTTTGTAAAAATAAATGATAGAATTAAAAATTGAAAGAATTGACATATTATATCAAATTTCAATGAATCTTTAATTTATTTATTGAATTTGGTTATAAAATGTATTCATGGCTATTAAATATATTGATAATAATAGTAAATTATTATATTTTGTAGATATTTGTAAAGTACAATGAATAAAAATAATATTTGAACATTTCAATACCTGGTATTATTATTAAATCGAAAAATTTTCAGAGAAGAACGAATAATATTATTACGATGAATCTAATAAAAATTTGGACACAAAATGTGAAACTTATCAAAGACTAATTTTATGTTAGTTTTAAAACATGGTAAGAACATGTTTTCTCGCAATTCAATTTTTGTCGATAAAATTTGTTTAATTGCGTTGAAATATACTATTATATTATCATGATAATTACTTACTTGCAAAACTGTATCCGAATATCTAATAAGATTTTCGATGCTTTCTATAGGTTGATCTTTCACAGGTGTCCCGTTAACTTCCAATATGCGATCGCCAATATGCAATGACATTAGATCATTGGACATGTTAAGTCTAGAATTAAATTTTAATTACTAATTATAATTTAAAATAACCAAAGCTATAACACAACTAGCATCTTCTAAAGAAACGGCAAAGCATGCATATTTTACAGTATACATTGGATTCTATAAGAATGTAGTTTTGTTTCCCAAGATATGAAAAAAAGGCCAATTACATAAAATACATAAGATATACTCAACTTCTTGGGATAAGACAGAAGCTCCTTTAATCTTATTAGCTAACGTTACCATCACCAAATATTTTATTACTTTCGCTTATAATACCATTGTATTATAAGAAAAGCTTTATTATTTTCTTTTTAATCATTAAGGCCAGTGTTAAATGTTAAGCGCTATACGTTACTTCATTGTAAGATAAATTTACAAATAATGGTGCGTGGAACAAAGTGAAATTCATTGTTTTATCCATTTTCTTATTTTATACATAAAAATTTCAAATAATTTTCATAAAGATAAAAGTTTAACTAGGATATACTTAATTTGAAAAATCACAACATCAATTCATTACATAAGATTGTTAGAGACAAATTTGAAATGACTTAAATAGTCAATTCTCATGCTATTAATTGAAATTTTATAAACAGAAATAATTAGAAAAATACAATAGGGAGAGAAAAAAAAAAAAAAAAAAAAAAAAATGGAAGAAGAAGAAGCAATTTAAAGCACAAAAGTGTGTAGTTAAAAATATTTTATTTGTACTCGTTGTTAGCTTTTCATTCATTTCCACTTATGTTTTCTTAGCTGACTATATTGTTTTTCACAAACATTTTCATCGATCTTAACAGTGGTAGTGCACATGTGAAGTATTACATATTTATAAATAAAAAATGTTATTTAAAAGATTAAAATATGTGGCGAACATGCATTTTAAAATTCTTTTTAGCAATGTATGCATATAAACGGTAAACAATTGATAAGTTAAACTATCTAATTTCATCTTTCCAGGCAAAATCTGCAATCTCTAACAAATTACGTGTGCTCATTATTGATTTATTATTGGTAGTACCTATAATTAGAGAAGTGGCAGCATAGCCTAAAGAGAACCTCCGTCATAGAGGCCACCAGCTTACAGATCTTTCCACGAACGTTTCTTAATAACCTGCATTTTAGTTGGGAGTTATTACAAGCCTTGAATGTATATACTACATTACAAATTTTAACATTATATATTTAATTGATATTCTATTTGAATGCTTATCATGCATGTAAATTCAAGCCAAAGTTAAAAATTATATAATTCTTTTTAATATGATTACATTATCATGTTAACAATATAGACTAAAGTCATTTTAAACAATTATATTTGTAATCGAATAAAATTACTGTCCCACTGTTACATATGATACAAATTCTAATTTGAGCTAGAAATGACCCATAAATGGATGGACCCAAACATAATGGAACTTAGATTTGCTTGCGTGGACAAACTAATATTTCTATATTGTAAAATGGAAATTATAATTTACTCAACACAGCTCTTGATTTTCACGTTAAATTAGAATTTGTATCCACTTTATTTTTAAGCATTTTTAGTAAAAATATTATTTATTTGTAAGACGCATTTGTAAATTTTGCATTATAAAGGTTAGATTTTGTGTGTGTGTGTGTGTGTGTGTGTATGATTCACTCACTCTGAAATACGAAGAAGTGCACCACCGCAGCTCCTTGGACTTGGTGTAGTATCTAACGTCAATCTGATTCCTCGCTGTTTCTCTTGGCTGTTAGTATTTGGAGGGATCTCTACGAGTCTTATACTGTGTGGCTTTCTGATAAACGGATGATTAGCCATTTTGGTAAGAGGTTGCGTTTGTCGTTTGTAACAAATACCGCAGTATAATTTTGATCTTTCCACTAGGGCGTAACTTTCGCCATCTCCTATAAAAGTCCCACAGAAATTGCAAGCGAAGCATTCTGGATGAAATTTGTGATCGCCGGCTAACATCACAGGACCGGTGATAACGTGGCCGCAGCTTTGACATGCCTCACCATAAGCTGTCCAGTAATCATCTTTACAAAATAAAAGCCCATCCTTCTCAAAGTACCATAAGGATAATGCCGCATCGCACACTGAACATCTAAAATATCAACATTTTTTTTTTTTTTTAACATACCTTGTCATCGAAACTCAGACGTTATTAGTATAATCATCTATTTAATATTTGATAAGCAATTATTGTACTCGCCTGAAGCAGTCGATATGCCATTCTTGACCAAGAGCTTGAATAAGTTCTTCCTCGTCGATACTATTAAGGCAACCAGCGCAAGCTGATATATCTTTCTCATCGTTGTCGCCAGTACTGCCACCACTACCACCTCCAGGATCTGTAAATATTCAAGCTAAGATTATTTTTTGTTTGTGCAACAGTTTTACATTTATTTCATAAGGAGCAAGTAATTAATTATCGAGATAAACTCGTTAGGTCGATGTAAATAACCATTTATACCAACCAAAGAAACATTCTAGGCTCATCCTTTTGGGAAAAGGTGCGCAGATCTTTAAAGGCGATAAGACGTTTCGATACACTCTTTAACCAAGTCATTAATCGATAGCCAAATTAATTTGTGCTTAATTTCATTACTTATAAAAGAACCGATAAACTAATGTAATTAATAGGCTTATTGTATAAGACCGATTAGCTAAGTCTATTGAAAGTTATATCAACAGCGTTGAAATGTTACGGTTATTTAACTCAATAACATAGCTAATAACTATAAAACCGTCGCTTATCGATAAATACATTGTTTACAAGTACTTTGCTTATCTTGATGTTGAAGGAAACCTGTATAAACGAACCGCTAAGAGAAATTATACTCACTAGACGAATGAAAAATTGCAACAAACATTTAATAAATAATATATTTGCCCATCACGTTAAAAAATCAATTTTCTCTTTTAATATAAATTTTTTACAATTACAGTCTCCATTGTAAGATTATTTCTTGGTGTACATAATGTTTGAAAGTACATAAATATGTATACATTCGCGAGTCATTTTGTAGCATTGTCATTTCGTAATACTACATTGACATTATAATAAAATAAAATGAATTGTTTCTTTAGCGTGGATCGTTATAAGAAAAGGACGAAATAATTAAAGCGATTACAATTTTCATCTAATTGCATCTTCTCTCTCTCTCTCTCTCTCTCTCTCGCTCTCTCTCTCTCGCTCTCTCTCGCTCTCGCTCTCGCTCTCGCTCTCTATACTTTCTCCGGCCCAAATCATAAATTCCTACGAGTAAATAAAGTGCGGTTAATAATATGAAAGGACTTGAATGGACGCCCACATGCTTAACACTAATGGGAAAATAAAGTCAATGATAGTAAGAATTTAATATACAGTGCTTGCTTTGTTAAATGATTGATAAGGACGGAAGATTCGTCCGTGCTATAACTCATTAACACATAAGGTATACATAGTTCCCCTTCCATAGGCTTAAGAAGTCACAGTGAAACATAAGCGCGCACGCACACATACCCGATGTATTTGATGTCGAAGGCTCATCCATTGCGTCGTCTTCGTCGTCTGCGTCGTCTGCGTCGTCTGCGTCGTCTGCGTCGTCTGCGTCCTCGTCGTCGCCGTCGTCGCCGTCATTCGTCTAGCGCCCGTTTAGCTCCGAATAGCTGGAGAGAGCGAGAAATCACTCCCACGACGACAAAGTTTGCGATATTCGGTAATGCAGCAGCAACGGGAAAGAAGAAGTCGAGCTAGGATGTGCAACAGCTCAGTTCTCCAAAAAGCGATACGTCGCTTCGCAAGAGAGACGGACGAACGAACGGACGGGCAGATAGACAGACAGATCGACCGAATGCCCTCCCGACACTACTCCTCCAATCTTCTCGCCATTGCCGCACTTTATCTCCCCGTTGTGCGTCGTGCCCTCGCGCCGACACTATTTTCCTCCCGAGTTCCTAATCCCGGGAATGCAACGGCACTCGGTAGCGGCCGACGGTCGCGGGGCTGGAGACGCGTGCGCGGCTACGTGCTGCGAGACGACGGGAGGAGGTGTAAGTCGAAGACGACGAGGCCCGACGGTAACGAGGAGGCCTCCTCGAGCGACGCGTGGGATCCTTCCGGCCCGCGTACACGCTTCGGGATAGGCAGCGAATGGTGGTGGCGGTGGTGGTGGTGGGGGTGGTGGGGGGGGGGGGGAGAGGGCCAGCAGCCCCCAGCGGGCCGC